TTCAGGTCGGGAGGCTCCCCGCTACGCCCCTCCCAGGAGAGTCTATGGTTGAGTTCTGTGTCTCCTGGTGTGTACACAACAGCGAGCACTGCCTATATAACACTAATATATAATATATCTATCAAAATGTTATTGATGGTTTTCATGAAGGTTAATAAAATTATTTTATTATAATATTTTTAATACATCCTTTAAGGTGTAGGATTACTTCACCCTAAATTTTCTTACATATTTTTAATATCAAGTTGATTTTTGTCCTTTCTACCATGAAATAATTACATATATACATTATATTATTAGAATAAATATATATTGTAGATTTGTTCAACAGTGAAATTAATTTTAGTCTGAGTAAAATGTTAGTGTAGGACAAAGTTTACTCAGTACACATGTATGGGTAGAAGACTAGACACTGTCAGCAGACACTACACACAAGTTAGAAGCCTTTGATATGGTGCAGTACTAGAGGAGAGAACTAAGAAAGATTAGAACTGACCAAATTAAAAAGATAAATAAAGAAATATATAAATTAAAACTAAGATACTTTGACCATATAATTAGAGATGAAATAAAAGATATATTAATTAATAAGATAGAAGTTAAAAGGTTCAGAGAAGGTCAGGTGGAGGACAAATGAATGAAATTATAATCAAACATATTTATAGAAATTTTCCTCTACATCAATATAGTTCGGGTATTTCTATATACGCCTCCTATAGCTATACATCCTTATACACTAGGTTGATGATGAAGAGTTAACGTAGAGAGATTCTGTATAGGCTGGTGTCTAGTGTTGCGTCATTGCGTCATTTGTCTCGTAGGTCATGTTGATATTAATATTGAGGTGAGAGTCAGGTGTAGGACGCAGGTGAGAATGTTATTGATGATAATGCCTTCCTAGTGATTGATCGGTTGGCTCCTGGTTATAGTAGGTCCGTCACCTAACTAACCTAACCTACCCAACCCTAACCTAACTCCCTAACCTAACCTAATGTGTGTCTGTGTGTTAGTAGTTTGAAAACGGTCCTCAAAAGGGTTAAATCATCATCATCAAAGGGTTAAGTCATTTTCTTCAAAGGGTTAAATCATGGTCTTCAAGGGATGAATCATGGTCCTCAGAGAGTTAAATCATGTTCCTCAAAGCATTAAGTCATGGTCTTCAAAGGGTTAATAAAAGTGAGGGAACAGCCGTCCTCCACTAAGATCCAGCACCATTATCCACTTCCTCCACCAATAAGTCGAGATCCTCCACCATTATCCACCTCCGACACTTTTATCCACCCCCTCCACCAATAGGCCGAGATCCTCCACCAATAGGGCGAAATCCTCCACCAATAAGTCAAGATCCTCCACCATTATCCACCCCTCTACCAATAAGCCGAGATCCTCCACCAATATCCACCTCCTCCACCAATAAGTCGAGATCATCCACCATTATCCACCTCCTTCACCTTTATCCACTTCCATCATTATCCACCTCTTCCACCAATAAGTCGAGGCCACCACCATTCACCTCCTCCACCAAAAAGCCGAGATCCTCCACCAATAAGTCGAGATCATCCACCATTATCCACCTCCTCCACCTTTATCCACCTCCTCCATGATTATCCACCTCCTCCACCAATAAGTCAGATCCTCCATCATTATCCACCTCCTCCACCAATAAGTCGAGGTCCATCACCATTATCCACCTCCTCCCTTTTATCCACCTCCTCCATCATTATCCACCTCATCCACCAATAAGTCGAGATCCTCCATCATTATCCACCTCCTCCACCAATAAGTCGAGGTCCACCACCATTATCCTCCTCCACCTTTATCCACCTCCTCCATCATTATCCACCTCATCACCAATAAGTCGAGATCCTCCATCATTATCCACCTCCTCCACCAATAAGTCGAGATCCTCCACCATTATCCACCTCCTCCACCAATAAGTCGAGGTCGATCACCATTATCCACCTCCACTTTTATCCACCTCCTCCATCATTATCCACCTCCTCCACCAATAAGTCGAGATCCTTCATCATTATCCACCTCCTCCACCAATAAGTCGAGGTCCACCACTACTATCCACCTCTTCCACTTTTATCCACCTCCTCCACCATTATCACCATTATCCACCTCCTCCACCAATAAGTCGAGATCCTTCATCATTATCCACCTCCTCCACCAATAAGTCGAGAACCTCCACCATCATCCACCTCTTCCACCTTTATCCACCTTCTCCATCATTATCCACCTCCTCCCCAATGTCCACTTGAGCAACATTTCAGTGTCGAATTTATTAATACTAAATCATTTATATTTTATTGTGAAAAATAATGAAGAATATGTTGTATACTTCATTATATAACTATACCGTATTAATATAATTCATAATAGAAATACCATAAAAGGAAAATTTGCTAACTATATGACTTTTCGTTGTACGTTTCAAATCATTACAACTTACAAGAGCGACATTGGTGAAGAACATTGCATAAGTAACAAGCTACTTTAAACCTTACTTCCGCAAGGTTAAGGGCGGTGTCGGTTTCTTTGTTACGAGAAATTCTGACAAAATTGACCAGACGCGTCATGTGTGTTGGGTATATATAGGAAGGAGGTGCTGGACTGCAGTCGATCACCAGACACAACCAGTCATGAACACCAAGGTACACAGGTTGAGATACCTCAACCGTATTTACCATGAATAATACAATTTACGTTAACTGAAATGTTTATTGTAACTTACCTGTATTATCTTTTCTACAGGTAGTCCTTCTGCTGGGTGCGGTGGCGCTGGCTGCTGCTGACAGTTTTCCTCCATACTCCTACAGGGGCCCTCATGTGAGTGTTGATTATTCGTACATCTTAACGAATATTAATTTGTGTTGTCAAAATAACTGGAGAAAATTTCTATTACAAATTCTTTACCACAGGATTCCTCTGAAGGTCTTTGAGTCTTTTGAGTCTTATGAGTCTAGTGAGGCTCAATACAACTTCAACTACGCCGTGAAGCTGACCCCTCCGGCAACGACTTCGGTCACCAGGAGACCCGCGACGGTGACAACGCAGGGTCGTACTACGTGCAACTTCCCGACGGCCGTCTGCAGACTGTGACTTACTTCGTAGACGGTGACTCAGGCTACATCGCTGATGTCAAGTACGACGGAGGCTCGCTACCCCCGACTCATACGGGTCCTTTGAGTCGTTCGAGTCCCGGGAGGCTCCCGCTACGCCCCCTCCAGGAGAGTCTATGGTTGAGTTTTGTGCCTCTGGTGTACACAACAGGCACTGCCTATATAACACTAATATATAATATATCTATAAAATGTTATTGATGGTTTTCATGAAGGTTAATAAATTATTTTATTATAATATTTTAAATACATCCTTTAAGGTGTGGATTACTTCACCTAAATTTTTTTACATATTTTTAATATCAAGGTTGATTTTTGTCCTTCTACCATGAAATAATTACATATACATTATATTATTAGAATAAATATATATTGTAGATTTGTTCAACAGTGAAATTAATTTAGTCTGAGTAAAATGTTGGTGTAGGACAAAGTTTACTCAGTACACATGTATGGGTCAGAAGACTAGACACTGTCAGCAGACACTACACACAAGTTAGAAGCCTTTGATATGTGGTGCAGTACTAGGGAAGAACTAAAGAAAATTAGAACTGACCAAATTAAAAGATAAATAAAGGAAATATATAAAATAAGGAACTAAGATACTTTGACCATATAATTAGAGAAGAAATATAAGATATATTATTAATAAGATAGAAGTTAAAAAGATCCAGAGAATGTCGGGTGTAGGACAAATGAATGAAATTATAATCTAACATATTTATAAATTTTCTCTCATACATCAATATAGTTCGGGTATTTCTACACTCCTATAGCTATACATCCTTATATACACTTGGTTGATGATGAAGAGTTAACGTAGAGAGATTCTGTATAGGCTGGTGTCTAGTGTTGCGTCATTGCGTCATTTGTCTCACGTAAGGTCATGTTGATATTAATATTGAGGTGAGAGTCAGGTGTAGGACGCAGGTGAGAATGTTATTGATGATAATGACTTCTTAGTGATTGATCGGTTGGCTCCTGGTTATAGTAGGTCCGTCACCTAACCTCCTACCTAACCTAACCTAACCTAACCTAACCCTAACCTAACCTAATGTGTGTGTCTGTGTGTTAGTAGTTTGAAGACGGTCCTCAAAAGGGTTAAATCATCGTCATCAAAGGGTTAAGTCATGGTCCTCAAAGAGGTTAAATCATGGTCTTCAAGGGATAAATCATGGTCCTCAAAGGGTTAAATCATAGTCTTCAAGGGTTAAATCATGGTCTTCAAAGGGATGAATCATGGTCCTCAGAGGGTTAATCATGTTCCTCAAAGGTTAAGTCATGGTCTTCAAAAGGTTAAGTCATTTTCTTCAAAGGTTAAATCATGGTTCTTCAAGGGTTAATAAAGTGAGGAACAGCCGTCCTCCACTAAGATCCAGCACCATTATCCACTTCCTCCACCAATTAGTCGAGATCCTCCACCTTATCCACCCCTCTACCAATAGCCGAGATCCTCCACCATTATCCACCTCCTCCACCAATAAGTCGAGATCGTCCATCATTATCCACCTCCTCCACCAATAAGTCGAGGTCCACCACCATTATCCACCTCCTCCACCAATAAGCCGAGATCCTCCACCTTTATCCATCTCCTCCACCTTTATCCACCTCCTCCATCATTATCCACCTCCTCCTCCACCAATAAGTCGAGATCCTCCATCATTATCCACCTCCTCCACCAATAAGTCGAGGTACACCACCATTATCCACCTCCTCCACTTTTATCCACCGCTTCCATCATTATCCACCTCCTCCACCTTTATCCACCTCCTCCATCATTATCTACCTCCTCCACCAATAAGACGAGATCCTTCATCATTATCCACCTCCTCCACCAAAAAGTCTAGGTCCACCACTATTATCCACCTCTTCCACCTTTATCCACCTCCTCCATCTTATACACCTCCTCCACCTTTATCCACCTCCTCCATCATTATCCACCTCCTCCACCAATGTCCACTTGAGCAACATTTCAGTGTCGAATTTATTAATACTAAATAATTTATATTTTATTGTGAAAAATAATGAAGAATATGTTATACTTCATTATATAACTATACCGTATTAATATAATTCATAATAGAAATACCATAAAAGGAAAATTTGTCCAACTATATGACTTTTGTTGTACGTTTCAAATCATTACAACTTACAAGAGCGACATTGGTGAAAGGAACATTCATAAGTAACAAGCTACTTTAAGCACACTTCCGCAAGGTTAAGGGCGGTGTCGGTTTCTTTGTTACGAGAGGAATTCTGACAAAAAATTGACCAGACGCGTCGTGTGTGTTGGGTATATATAGGAAGGAGGTGCTGGTGTCTGCAGTCGATCACCAGACACAACACAGTCATGAACACCAAGGTACACACAGGTTGAGATACCTCCCCGTATTTACTATGAATAATACAATTTACTTTAACTGAAATGTTTATTGTAACTTACCTGTATTATCTTTTCTACAGGTAGTCCTTCTGCTGGGTGCGGTGGCGCTGGCTGCTGCTGACAGTTTTCCTTCATACTCCTACAGGGGCCCTCATGTGATGTCGATTATTCAAACATCTTAACGAATGTTAATTTGTGTTGTCAAAATAACTGGAGGAAAATTTCTGTTACAAATTCTTTATTACCACAGGATTCTCTGAAGAGTCTTTTGAGTCTTTGAGTCTTATGAGTCTAGTGAGGCTCAATACAACTTCAACTACGCCGTGAAGCACGACCCCTCCGGCAACGACTTCGGTCACCAGGAGACGCGACGGTGACAACCCAGGGTCGTACTACGTGCAGCTTCCCCGACGGCCGTCTGCAGACTGTGACTTACTTCGTAGACGGTGACTCAGGCTACATCGCTGATGTCAAGTACGACGGAGAGGCTCGCTACCCCGACCATACGAGTCCTTTGGTCGTTCGAGTCCCGGAGGCTCCCGCACGCCCCCCCAGGAGAGTCTATGGTTGAGTTCTGTGTCTCCTGGTGTACACAAGGCAGGCACTGCCTATATAACACTAATATATAATATATCTATCAAAATGTTATTGATGGTTTTCATGAAGGTTAATAAAATTATTTTATTATAATATTTTTAAATACATCCTTTAAGGTGTAGGATTACTTCACCCTAAATTTTCTACATATTTTTAATATCAAGGTTGATTTTGTCCCTTTCTACCATGAAATAATTACATATATACATTATATTATTAGAATAAATATATATTGTAGATTTGTTCAACAGTGAAATTAATTTTAGTCTGAGTAAAATGTTAGTGTAGGACAAAGTTTACTCAGTACACATGTATGGGTCAGAAGACTAGACACTGTCAGCAGACACTACACACAAGAAGCCTTTGATATGTGGTGCAGTACTAGAGGAGAGAACTAAAGAAAGATTAGAACTGACCAAATTAAAAAGATAAATAAAGGAAATATATAAATAAGCTAAGATACTTTGACCATATAATTAGAGATGAAATAAAGATATATTAATTAATAAGATAGAAGTTAAAAGGATCAGAGAATGTCGGAGGTGGAGGACAAATGAATGAAATTATAATCAAACATATTTATAGAAATTTTTCTCTCATACATCAATATAGTTCGGGTATTTTATATACAGCACTCCTATAGCTATACATCCTTATATACACTAGGTTGATGATGAAGAGTTAACGTAGAGAGATTCTGTATAGGCTGGTGTCTAGTGTTGCGTCATTGCGTCATTTGTCTCACGTAAGGTCATGTTGATATTAATATTGAGGTGAGAGTCAGGTAGACGCAGGTGAGAATGTTGTTGATGATAATGACTTCCTAGTGATTGATCGGTTGGCTCCTGGTTATAGTAGGTCCGTCACCTAACCTAACCTAACCTAACCTAACCTAACCTAAATGTGTGTGTCTGGTGTTAGTAGTTTGAAGACGGTCCTCAAGAGGGTTAAATCATCGTCATCAAAGGGTTAAGTCATGATCCTCAAAGGGTTAAATGATGGTCTTCAAAGGGTTAAGTCATGGTCCTCAAAGGGTTAAATCATCGTTATCAAAGGTTTAAGTCATGGACCTCAAAGGGTTAAATCATGGTCCTCAAAGTGCTAAATCATGGTCCTCAAAGGGTTAAATCATGGTCCTCAAAGGGTTAAATCATGGTACTCAAAGGGTTAAATCATCGTCATCAAAGGTTTAAGTCATGATCCTCAAAGTGTTAAGCCATGGACCTCAAAGGGTTAAATCATGGTCCTCAAAGTGCTAAATCATAGTCGTCAAAGGGTTAAATCATGGTCCTCAAAGGGTTAAATCATGGTACTCAAAGGGTTAAATCATGGTACTCAAAGGGTTAAATCATCGTCATCAAAGGGTTAAGTCATGATCCTCAAAGTGTTAAGTCATGGACCTCAAAGGGTTAAATCATGGTCTCAAAGGGTTAAATCATGGTACTCAAAGGTTAAATCATGGTACTCAAAGGGTTAAATCATCGTCATCAGGGTTAAGTCATGATCCTCAAAGTGTTAAGTCATGGACCTCAAAGGTTAAATCATGGTCCTCAAAGTGCTAAATCATAGTCCTCAAAGGGTTAAATCATGGTACTAAAGGGTTAAATCATGTTCCTCAAAGGGTTAATAAGAGTGAGGAACAGCCGTCCTCCACTAAGATCCAGCACCATTATCCACTTCCTCCACCAATAAGTCGAGAACCTCCCACCTTTATCCACCTCCTCCATCATTATCCACCTCCTCCACCTTTATCCACCTCCTCCATCATTATCCACCTCCTCCACCAATGTCCACTTGAGCAACATTTCAGTGTCGAATTTATTAATACTAAATCATTTATATTTTATTGTGAAAAATAATGAAGAATATGTTGTATACTTCATTATATAACTATACCGTATTAATATAATTCATAATAGAAATACCATAAAAGGAAAATTTGTCTAACTATATGACTTTCGTTGTACGTTTCAAATCATTACAACTTACAAGAGCGACATTGGTGAAAGGAACATTGCATAAGTAACAAGCTACTTTAAGCAACACTTCCGCAAGGTTAAGGGCGGTGTCGGTTTCTTTGTTACGAGAGGGAATTCCTGACAAAAAATTGACCAGACGCGTCATGTGTGTTGGGTATATATAGGAAGGAGGTGCTGGAGTCTGCAGTCGATCACCAGACACAACACAGTCATGAACACCAAGGTACACACAGGTTGAGATACCTCACCCGTATTTACTATGAATAATACAATTTTACTTTAACTGAAATGTTTATTGTAACTTACCTGTATTATCTTTTCTACAGGTAGTCCTTCTGCTGGGTGCGGTGGCGCTGGCTGCTGCTGACAGTTTTCCTTCATACTCCTACAGGGGCCCTCATGTGAGTATTGATTATTCGTTCATCTTAACGAATGTTAATTTGTGTTGTCAAAATAACTAGAAGAAAATTTGTTACAAATTCTTTCTTACCACAGGGTTCCTCCGAAGAGTCTTTTGAGTCTTATGAGTCTAGTGAGGCTCAATACAACTTCAACTACGCCGTGAAGCACGACCCCTCCGGCAACGACTTCGGTCACCAGGAGACCCGCGACGGTGACAACACCCAGGGGTCGTACTACGTGCAGCTTCCCGACGGCCGTCTGCAGACTGTGACTTACTTCGTGGACGGTGACTCAGGCTACATTGCTGATGTCAAGTACGACGGAGAGGCTCGCTACCCCGACTCATACGAGTCCTTTGAGTCGTTCGAGTCCCGGGAGGCTCCCCGCTATGCCCCTCCCAGGAGAGTTTATGGTTAGGTGTTGTGTCTCCTGATGTAGTGCACAGCGTCACTCTCAATACGAAGCCTTAAATGGCAAGATATGTAATATATTTATCATAACATAACATGTACTAGCATGAATTTATTAAAAGTAAAGTGCTACATTGTTTATCAATATAACCCTTAAATAACTGGTAGTTGGTACTAGTCCATCCCAGATACTCAGGATGTTCTTTCTGTTACACTAAACACCTGGCCAGTAGACGACAGTTGCTACACACCTTTGCCTCATAACATCAACTGAACAATAAGTTTTTGAAAGAAGAATAGTTGAGTAATTATGGTTATATAAAATATTATAATCTTAGCGGAAGTATAAAGCTTCACAAAACCAAACACTGATAAAAGGAGTCAAAGTTTAGTGACTGGGAACACACACAGCATTTCCTCATGACCATATTTCTTGACACTATACTTTGACATGTGGCAGAAATATTTACCTAAGGAAAAATACATTTACTTTCCTCATTATTGACAGCTTATTGAACTATCCATTAGGTAACTCAACTAAGACATAAAAAGTTTATGAAAGAAATATTTCCTCTGGTTCTTGATAAATGAGAATCAAATCCACTTATTCAATTACTTTACATGAAATACAACCTTCCATGTTAATACAAATTTATATACACTATTCCCACGGTGTTTCTTCTAAACGTATAAGTGTTAAAAGTTATAAGTACCAAAAAAAAAAACTTTAGAAGAAATCGGTTGAAAAATAATAGACGTGTGAGACGAGTTAAGTAATAAAAGTTTACCCTCACATCCACACTATTGATTTTGACAGTGTTACGCACCCGTGTATCGCTGGGATGATGGGATGTATAATTCTGTTAACAGGTGAGATGAATAAGTCTGTTAACAGGTAAGATGGATAATTCTGTTAACAGGTTGTATGATGTATAATTCTGTTAACAGGTTGAATGTAGTATAATTCTTTTTACAGATTGTATGATGTATAATTCTGTTAACAGATGAGATGAAGATACGGTTTTCTTTACTTTAGTCAAGAGAAAGTTTTATAAATATTCTATTGATCTATTTTTTAGCTTTTGAATTTCCTTTTTTTTTATCTGATATTTTTCATGTGATGTTGTAAGCTAGTAGTCTCCATACTGGGCCTTAATAACCCTAACTTGACACATTTGTTGGTTGACACATGCTGGTTGAACACATGTTGGTTGACACTTGGTTGACACTGTCCCCGGAGATACATACACACACACACACACACACACACACAGAGTAGACAAATACATGATGCAGTATTATTTACAACATTGTCCACATTTATCTGAGAGAGGGATTCCTTCACCGCCAACACAACACAACACAACACAACACAGTAATAAGGGAAACACTACACATTAAAATTGACTCTTATGCCCCTTCATTTCATCATCACATTGAGATTTTAGACTTTACTCTTGCCTCAGATCTCATTAAGACAAGCTGTATTACATCTCTGGCCAATTATTTAAACGAAGGTGATCCAAGTTTAGAACCAGTTTCTAAGTTACGTAATATCATCAGTTGGGAAGAATTTATGTAAAGTATTTGTTTTGTTTTTTAGATGAATTACTATTGTGATCTGTGAGGTGATGTGTTATGTTATCTGGGTTAGTTGATGTTGAGTAGAAAAGGTCATGAAAACAGCTAAATTTGCCAAGAAGATTAGATTATTATTCTATGTCACTTGTTATGGTTTTCCTAATGCATAGAGAATTCCACAGTCATTCATCAAACGTAGAGTACAAGTCCCAATATTGACTAAAGTTGAAATCTACTGACAGGCAACCAGACCCTATGAGAGAACCCATGTCTGTACTAACATTCCCTCTTATAGAACTTCTGCGTTACTGAATTAATCTACACAGGACGAGCTCTCATGGAACTCCCTGCTACAGTGTTATTCCTATATCATAATTCTAACCTCCAACACTTCATTGTATTGAGCCTCAAATCTTGTATCGTCAACTCTGGGAAGGAGACACCTTGATGTATAAACTCTACAGTGTCTTCGTCTAGTTAAACAGGTCTCAGGTGTTAATGTTGTGGCACTAATGATACTTGACTATGTTCAGCTAACTACTAAAGAAGTGTTCATGATCCTCGATAGTTTAAACAATGATAATGGAAAGTTTTGTTTCAGTTCACTCCATAATTAAAACAGACAAAAAAAATATTGCATAAGATATAATGTACTTTGAGCAATACATACCTGTTGGGTGAGGGCGGGTCGATTTCCTTATGGCAAGCGGGAATTCTGGACAAAAAGTTGACCACGTTCGTCTAGTGTGTTGGGTATAAATGGGAAGAACGAGCTGAGTTCTGCAGTCGATCACCAGACACAACACAGTCATGAACTCCAAGGTACTGACTAGCGGGAATGTCTGATCTGTAGTTCAAATGATATTATATAGTGTTGCTTTATTTATAAGTGTCAAATTTAACATGCATTATTTCCTCCAGGTCCTCCTCTTGCTGGGTGTAGTATCATTGGCTGCTGCCGACAGCCGCCCCTCCTACTCCTACAGAGGACCTCACGTGAGTGTTAACTAATGTTACGTTACTTACAAGGTCTTGATAAACAATCGTTTTGAAGATAATCTAAGTGAGAGTTATGTCACATCTATTTTTTATCTTATCATAGGGATCCTCTGAGGAGTCTTACGAGTCTAGTGAGGCTCAGTACAACTTCAACTACGCAGTGGACCACGTCCCCTCCGGCAATGACTTCGGTCACCAGGAAGCCCGCGACGGTGACGACACCCAGGGGTTGTACTACGTGCAGCTTCCCGACGGTCGTCGTCAGACTGTGACTTACAACGTGGACGGTGACTCAGGCTACATCGCTGATGTCAAGTACGACGGAGAGGCTCGCTATCCTGACTCATACGAGTCCTTTGAGTCCTTCGAGTCCTTCGAGTCCCGGGAGTCTCCCCGCTACGCCCCACCCAGGAGGGTGTACGGCTGAGCCTTATGTCTCCTGATTCTGCTGCTGACCACCACCTCCAGACTCCCAGTGACTAGTGTTGTGACATGAAGTTATGGGTATTTATATTGTCTAAATTATATCATATTTATTTTATCTATTAAATTATTTTGCATCATATTTTGTTTGTAACACCTGAGTCATACTGCGTGATGGCGCTGCTTAACACTACGACTCTTGACAAGAACCAGTTGGCCACCTCTTGTGTGTTAATTACTTCTTGAAAAACCTTAGACTCTGGATTATAAGAGGAACTAAATATTTCAGCCTTCTACTTAAATTCTATATGTTGAGTGTTTTGGTTTTCTGTTCTGCCATGCATGAGTACTTCTTGATTTTGACCTGAAACCACAACTAGCTGCTTCAGTGATCCCTCCAAGATGAAAATCCACAATGTCTATGTGTGTGTTGAACTCTTTGATATCCCCATCCATCATACCGTCTCCGTAAGCAAACCAACGTATTCCCAGTGAAATTAAGTAACAGAAAATTAATAGTAGCTCAGTTATCAGATACGGGGAGGGTAGTTAAATAAGCATCACCAGTTATTTTCTTATAGTCTTAATACTAATATATACAGTATACACATTACATCAACTGGACAGGCTGGGTCATGACAAAACACCAGTCTTACGTCAGGTATCGTCAAAATGCATAAGAACTCAAAGGGGTAAATTATGACCAAATAGACACAAGAATAAGTACACTGTGGTGGTCCCGTATATTGGCCCTCATAAAGTAGGTTTTTCGACCTGGTATTACTAGTAAATGAGGCGTAATGATGAAGGTTCACTGGCAGGAGCACATAGGTCACAGGAGGGGATAGGTATCGTCTAAGTAGCACATATAAAGGTAGCGCATAAGACTGAAAGGTCATTTAGACGATAGAAGTAAAATACACAAAGATAATTTAGCCATAATGTAGTAGACACAAGGTCGAGACGGAGGCTGGAGAAGTCGTGAGGAGTTCTACATACAGGCTGTTGAGGAGATGGTGGGGGGGACGACGAGAGCAGAAAGCAACTTTGATGGTAGTGAATGAGTGCTAGATAGTGAGACGGAGAGGGCTTGTGACGCCTCATTTCATTTTTTAACGACATTGCTTGGTCGATAGGTGAAGCCTTCTACCTCGAATGCAAAAAAAAAACCCTCATGACTCATTATTTTATGGGCATTAAAGGCACAGTGTACTTAATATTCCTGCATGACAGAAACTGAACTTATTAATTACTATTGTATAAAGCACGATTAGGTCTTCCAAGCCCAACCCCTAATAGAGAACCGAGATATAAATTTGTAAGACATTAGGCAAGCCACTTAGGGTGGATAAAATTGCAAGTTGTGGCAACTGTCTTTTTAGAGCTGTAAGTTAAAAAGTTACATAGACGGAGGAGCATCATTCTACATTTAGAGAACTAACTGTACAAACCCTAGAAAACACACTGTATACGCCAGGGTTTGAAGCAATGATTGGACAAAAAGTAAATGACTACATGAAAAGCAGCAAAATGGAAGAAGATAACATCTGGGGAACGGACATAGAAATTATAGCTTTGGTTTTAGCTCTGAATAACAAAATAGCTGTACATCATCAGCCACCAGGAGCAGCAAGTGCCAGTGCCGTGTTTTTCCTAAATGTTTTCTCACATATCTTAGGAATTTTTCATAAATTCCTCGTTTGTGTGGATAATATGAGAATAAACCTCATGATAGAGTCTGAATTGAGTCTTTTGTGGCTTTTTCTACAGATGTAACCCAGCTTATCCATTGATTTTCAACATTACACATCTATACAAAATTAAAAGTTAAATTTATGCATAAATTGATATATCTCAGTTACATATCAATGTAAAAAAATTATCACCATAAACTCTCTCAGGAAGTGAGAAATACTCAAGATGGAGGGTGTCAAGAGCCTTAGCGACATGTAAAGAAGTGACTCAGTATATATCAGGTGGTGTCAAACTATAAGTAATGTAATAATAATTTAATAAATTATGGAGATCTCATACAACTTTTGATAATACATAATTGAAACTCTACCATAACACTAGTACATGCAGGCGGTGTTCAACATCAGCACCAGAAGACACCAAGTTCAACCGTACACTCGCCTGGGTGGCCCGTAGCGAGTAGCCTCCAGGGACTCAAAAGACTCAAAGGAGTTGGGAGACTCGAAGGAGCTAGAAGACTCGAAGGAGCTGGGGAAGCTTGACCTGTGAGGGGCAAAGCGAGGAGCCTCCCGGGACTCAAAGGACTCGAATGACCTGGAGAAGCTTGGCCTGGGTGGGGTGTAGCGGGGAGCCTCCCGGGATTCGAAGGAGTCAGGGTAGCGAGCCTCTCCGTCGTATTTGACATCGGCAATGTAGCCTGAGTCACCGTCCACGAAGTAAGTCACAGTCTGGCGGCGACCGTCGGGAAGCTGCACGTAGTACGACCCCTGCGTGTTGTCACCATCACGAGTCTCCTGGTGACCGAAGTCGTTGCCGGATGGGTCGTGTTCTACGGCGTAGTTGAAGTTGTATTGAGCCTCACTAGACTCATAAGACTCCTCGGAGGAACCCTATGATAAGAAAAAGCTTTATTATTCTCAAGACCTTAAATTATTGTACATCAAGTTCTTTTAAATAACATCATAAGTAACAACAATATTTAACACTCACGTGAGGGGCGGCGTAGGAGTAGGAGGGACGGTTGTCGGCAGCAGCCAACGACACCACACCCAGCAGGAGGAGGACCTGGAGGACATATTACAAGTTACAAAAGATTCATTGTCAATAAAATATTATTGCATCCCTTCAAAGTGAAGTGGAGGTCCGAGACTTGCAGTAGTCAGTACCTTGGAGTTCATGACTGTGTTGTGTCTGTTGGTCGACTGCAGACAACACCGTCTGCTTCCTTATTTATACCCAACACACATCACGTGACTGGTCAACTTTCCTTTTCTGCAGAATTCCCGCTTGCAATGAAAATCGACTCCACCCTAACACCATTAGGTAAGTGTTGCTGGCAGTAACTTATTACTTATGTTATATTTTTATTTGTTTTGTATTTTAGTAAACAGAAAAACATCGCTTTGCACTGAAAACTCTGTAAATGTTCATGACACACATCCTTGGCCGTAATCACAGGCGCCTCATTGATAATTCTTCATGAGATCATCGTATTATACTTGACACAATAATTTTTTGTTCAAGTGTTGCAGCATACAATCGATCGCATATATCGACGATGTGCAATTACAATCAAACTATTGGCACCTTTCATTGTATTATCCTTTTTGTCACTGAATTACCCCGATACAATGCGCAATCACCCCTATAAATTAAGACTTTTAATTACTGCAATACAATTATAAGGTAGTTATGGTATATATATTGTCTAAATTATATCATATTTATTTTATCTATTAAATTATTTTTGCATCATATTTTGTTTTTAACACCTGAGTCATACTGCGTGATGGCGCTGCTTAACACTACGACTCTTGACAAGGACCAGTTGGCCACCTCTTGTGTGTTAATTACTTCTTGACAAACCTTAGACTCTGGATTATAAGAGGAACTAAATATTTCAACCTTCTACTTAAATTCTATATGTTGAGTGTTTTGGTTTTCTGTTCTGCCATGCACGAGTACTTCTTGATTTTGACCTGAAACCACAACTAGCTGCTTCAGTGATCCCTCCAAGATGAAAATCCTCAATGTCTATGTGTGTGTTGAACTCTTTGATATCCCCATCCATCATACCGTCTCCGTAAGCAAACCAACGTATTCCCAGTGAAATTAAGTAACAGAAAATTAATAGTAGCTCAGTTATCAGATACGGGGAAGGTAGTTAAATAAGCATCACCAGTTATTTTCTTATAGTCTTAATACTAATATATACAGTATACACATTACATCAACTGGACAAGCTGGGTCATGACAAAACACCAGTCTTACGTCAGGTATCGTCAAAATGCATAAGAACTCAAAGGGGTAAATTATGACCAAATAGACACAAGAATAAGTACACTGTGGTGGTCCCGTATATTGGCCCTCATAAAGTAGGTTTTTCGACCTGGTATTACTAGTAAATGAGGCGTAATGATGAAGGTTCACTGGCAGGAGCACATAGGTCACAGGAGGGGATAGGTATCGTCTAAGTAGCACATATAAAGGTAGCGCATAAGACTGAAAGGTCATTTAGACGATAGAAGTAAAATACACAAAGATAATTTAGCCATAATGTAGTAGACACAAGGTCGAGACGGAGGCTGGAGAAGTCGTGAGGAGTTCTACATACAGGCTGTTGAGGGGATGGTGGGGGGGTGACGACGAGAGCAGAAAGCAACTTTGATGGTAGTGAGTGAGTGAGTGCTAGAGAGTGAGACGGAGAGGGCTTGTGACGCCTCATTTCATTTTTTAACGACATTGATTGGTCGATAGGTGAAGCCTTCTACCTCGAATGCAAAAAAAAAACCCTCATGACTCATTATTTTATCGGCATTAAAGGCACAGTGTACTTAATATTCCTGCATGACAGAAACTGAACTTATTAATTACTATTGTATAAAGCACGATTAGGTCTTCCAAGCCCAACCCCCAATAGAGAACCGAGATATAAATTTGTAAGACATTAGGCAAGCCACTTAGGGTGGATAAAATTGCAAGTTGTGGCAACTGTCTTTTTAGAGCTGTAAGTAAAAAAGTTACATAGACGGAGGAGCATCATTCTACATTTAGAGAACTAACTGTACAAACCCTAGAAAACACACTGTATACGCCAGGGTTTGAAGCAATGATTGGACACAAAGTAAATGACTACATGAAAAGCAGCAAAATGGAAGAAGATAACATCTGGGGAACGGACATAGAAATTATAGCTTTGGTTTTAGCTCTGAATAACAAAATAGCTGTACATCATCAGCCACCAGGAGCAGCAAGTGCCAGTGCCGTGTTTTTCCTAAATGTTTTCTCACTTATCTTAGGAATTTTTCATAAATTCCTCGTTTGCGTGGATAATATGAGACTAAACCTCATGATAAAGTCTGAATTGAGTCTTTTGTGGCTTTTTCTACAGATGTAACCCAGCTTATCCATTGATTTTCAACATTACACATCTATACAAAATTAAAAGTTAAATTTATGCATAATTTGATATATCTCAGTTACATATCAATGTAAAAATATTATCACCATAAACTCTCTCAGGAAGTGAGAAGTACTCAAGATGGAGGGTGTCAAGAGCCTTAGCGACATGTAAAGAAGTGACTCAGTATATATCAGGTGGTGTCAAACTATAAGTAATGTAATAATAATTTAATAAATTATGGAGATCTCATACACCTTTTGATAATACATAATTGAAACTCTACCATAACACTAGTACATGCAGGCGGTGGTCAACATCAGCACCAGAAGACACCAAGTTCAACCGTACACTCTTCTTGGTGGCCCGTAGCGAGTTGCCTCCAGGGACTCAAAAGACTCAAAGGAGTTGGGAGACTCGAAGGAGCTAGAAGACTCGAAGGAGCTGGGGAAGCTTGACCTGTGAGGGGCAAAGCGAGGAGCCTCCCGGGACTCAAAGGACTCGAATGACCTGGAGAAGCTTGGCCTGGGTGGGGTGTAGCGGGGAGCCTCCCGGGATTCGAAGGAGTCAGGGTAGCGAGCCTCTCCGTCGTACTTGACATCGGCAATGTAGCCTGAGTCACCGTCCACGAAGTAAGTCACAGTCTGGCGGCGACCGTCGGGAAGCTGCACGTAGTACGACCCCTGCGTGTTGTCACCATCACGAGTCTCCTGGTGACCGAAGTCGTTGCCGGATGGGTCGTGTTCCACGGCGTAGTTGAAGTTGTATTGAGCCTCACTAGACTCATAAGACTCCTCGGAGGAACCCTATGATAAGAAAAAGCTTTATTATTCTCAAGACCTTAAATGATTGTACATCAAGTTCTTTTAAATAACATCATAAGTAACAACAATATTTAACACTCACGTGAGGGGCGGCGTAGGAGTAGGAGGGACGGTTGTCGGCAGCAGCCAACGACACCACACCCAGCAGGAGGAGGACCTGGAGAGAATATTACAAGTTATACAAGATTCATTGTCAGTAAAATATTATTGCAGCATTGAAAGTGAACTGGTGGTCTGATACTCACAGTAGACAGTACCTTGGAGTTCATGACTGTGTTGTGTCTGTTGGTCGACTGCAGACAACACCGTCTGCTTCCTTATTTATACCCAACACACATAACGTGACTGGTCAACTTTCCTTTTCTGCAGAATTCTCGCTTGCAATGAAAATCGACTCCACCCTAACACCATTAGGTAAGTGTTGCTGGCAGTAACTTATTACTTATGTTATATTTTTATTTGTTTTGTATTTTAGTAAACATAAAAACATCGCTTTGCACTGAAAACTCTGTAAATGTTCATGACACACATCCTTGGCCGTAATCACAGGCGCCTCATTGATAATTCTTCATGAGATCATCGTATTATACTTGACACAATAATTTTTTGTTCAAGTGTTGCAGCATACAATCGATCGCATATATCGACGATGTGCAATTACAATCAAACTATTGGCACCTTTCATTGTATTATCCTTTTTGTCACTGAATTACCCCGATACAATGCGCAATCACCCCTATAAATTAAGACTTTTAATTACTGTAATACAATTATAAGGTAGTTATGATATTTTAATAATTTCGGTTTGGATAAGCAAAGCTTATTTTATTTTCAAAAATATTAATAATTTCTCATAACAACAAAGCATTAAACTTGACACAAAGAAATAATCTTCAAGTGCTGAGGTGGACAGTGGTGGAGGAGGTGGATGATGAGGAATACAGGCCGTCTCCTTTCCCACCCACCTGGGTTAGGAAACTTCGGCACTGCAAGTTGGGCACTGGAAACTTTGGTACCAGAAAATTTCCAGAGCCGAGGTTTCTGGTGCCGAAGTTTCCAGTGCCCAACCTGCAGCTCCGAAGTTTCCTACATTCTGGTAAGGAGTATCCCAGGTGAAAACGCAGGGAGGTAGTGTGCATATTTAGTCTTCAATGTGTTTAGAGTAAACATTCGGAGAGTGATACATCTATGTTTAGCTAATAAAGAGGATACCAATCTTTATATCACGTGTTCATATTTCATTGGAGACGAGAACACATGATATAAAACCTTGAATCGACGTCTTATAACGAGAAGTAAACGCCAATATGGATTGAAAATATCCCTATATTATTTTAAGAGATATAATTGTGAGTTAAGTATTCACATCTGATTTCTGGTTTGTGATAGTGACAACAATAACAATTGTAGGTCAGGTTGAAGGTGCGACTTGATATGTTTACAGGCACGGAAAATGTTTAATATCTAGGGATGTGTTCCTAGAATTATGTGTTATGAAGAAGACTCCATTACAGAGAATCCAGGTTTTTGCTGCATTAACGCACTTCAGAAAGCAAGTCTGGAATTATAGGTATGAAACATTAGTAAACGTCTCCACCTTTAGTAAACAGCTTCCATGGGCCAGATTGAAGATTTGGGATCACATGAAGATTAGACACTAACTTACTTCACTTGAACATTAACCATCCAAATGCTACCTGGGTTTTTTGGTTAAATTACGCTGGCGTTAGGGTGGTTAATTTCCAGGTCTAATAAGCTGCAGTGTCTAATCTTCATATAGAATAAGCTGGCATGTCTAATCTCTAAGTATAATAAACTGGGGTGTCTAATCTTCAAAACAATTATGCTGACGTGTCGAATCTTCAGGACAAATAATCTGGGTGTCTAATCTTCAAGACAAATAATCTGGGTGTCTAATCTTCAAGACAAATCTGCTGGGGTGTAAAATCTTCAGGCAAAACAAGCTGACGTGTCTAATCTCCAATTCAAA